GTTGAAACTGTCAGTACCAATGTCATTRGTACATAACTGTTATAATATTATGCTTTGCTTGGAAACTTTGTCTACTCTTTTTATGAATAATGACAGTGTCAATTTTTCTTTTCTACACGGAAAAGTAGAATTCATTACCCGCATTTATAGTTTAAAATTCAATATGATTGTCATCATCTGCATTAATAGAGTTGGGTTTAGATTAAGCAAGGACGGAATAGTGRTTAATTAATTATTTTGATTCATTCGCAGTTGCTTAGGTATTTTTTCTAAAGGTGGCCACTGAAGAATTTAAAGATTGTTTGCTATTTTTTGATTGCAATTTTCGGTTTTTCCTTATTCATGTTGTTGATGGTATTGTTCTTAACCATCTTGATAGGTGCAGCAYGGTATGGAACATCATAGTCCTTAGAAGCATTGAAGCTGCAGGCATCACTATTATATCCTATTGTGTTCAAACGTCATAATATGAGGCGGTGACTTGGTTGTAAATACATGATTATAACTTCCACGACTATGGTCTATAATAATAAAATTATTCATATTAAAATTAATACAGTATTAATTATATTAATAATATTCAATTAATTATATTCACTTTCATTCAGAGGGTTAGGGTTAGCGGCGAGTGCATAACAGAAGCTGTATATAGTTTTCTGGTCTTCTCTGATTACGAATTCGCGTCGATCGATTCAAGCCCGAGAAAAGTCTATTAAAATGAAAACAGGTGAAAAAATTATACTAACATAGTGATTTAAGATATGGGCCGTTTTGAACTTATATACATAGGTATACATCGTAAATATAAATAATATTATTTAAATCAATACGAACGAAAATTACGTATTATACTTGTTATAGGTAATAATTCTTAAATACAGTTAAGGGCATGAGATTTAAAATTCAAGGTTCCCTCCCTCTTGGTTACGTCATCGAAATTTAAAGATTTTCGTTAGAAATTTGTGTTTTTTTAATCGCCACGATTCCAACGTCTTTATAACATAATGATACCCATGTGTACTATGGCGTACCTAATATCTAAATTAAATGCACTAACCCGACACACTCAATCATTTATCTGGTCACCCCATAGGAAATGTTCAAATGTATTTATCGCATGATCAATATTAATAGCTTTGACGTTTTAATACATACGAATTGGGTCTACACTATTATACGCTATTGAATGGTATAATTTCTATTATTTGCAACGTGTTTAATAATAATAATAATAATAATAATAATATATTATGTATACGCAATACACTACAAACAGTACAAACACACACGCGAATGCTCCGATCCATGTGACCATGTACACCATATTTTATTATATCAACTTGTGACGGTTTAGGCATTAAACACATTCAACCTTTATAGGGAATATTTCACATTGCATTTAATATATGTTTCTAATATAATATTTATAATAAATTGCTGTAATAATATAATACGATATATAATATTGTAATAATACGCGTATAATCTGGTATGTGATACAAATTCCGAAGAATAGGTACCTACTTTTTGAGAACACCATTTGACAATAAATTATGTAATGGTATTGAAATTCAAACTGAAMATTTTATGAAATAATCCGAATTATTAAAATGTTAATAAATAAGCAAAAGCAAAAACAATATTATCGTTTGCGATAATTAATGGCTATTGTACGTGGACTCACGATTTTTTTTATATAAAAGCAAAAATCTCGATTTGTTAAATTCAACAAAGAACTATTATGCGCATCCGGTCATTTAGAATATCACGAAATGACGATCAAGTGTTGTTATGAAGATGAAAATAACCACAGTAATATTTTTCATCATCATAAGTTAGTATAATCGCTATACTTACAGAAAAAAATTGAAACATTTCTTATTTCTCATCAGGTCCTAGTAATGTCTCATAGCCACCTCGGCAAGTAACGAATTACAACTGTAAGGGTGTGTTACTGTAGCACTCTTGGGCGGTGTTTCCCGGATAACTGATAAGGGCCGTTTAAGAATATAATATGTATACTGTTACAATTTTAACTACAAAATAATTTTAAAATTATCGAAATTATGACAAAATTAAAATTTTCAACGACTATAAAATAAAATTGTGACTTGATAGTTGATAGTATAAACTCATAATATTTTATAATATTCCTGTAGAATCAACAAAAACAAGATTTGAAGGGCTGACTGTAACAACAGGGTAAGTCCACTTTTTCCGTAAATCAGTTTTCGATTGTTTTGAATGCGCCATATTATCACGGTTAATACTGTTTAAAAACGGGGTATGTCCAATCGTTGTTTATGGAGATAACTTGGTACGTGCTGATGGGCTTACTTCGTTTAATATTGTATGGTCAGAAGTAAGGCAAGTCCGGACTTGTTTGATTTTTTTTTTTTATTAATCAACGTACATCGATAACTAGGCCATTAGTAAAATAAATTTTTTTTTGTTACATTTTTAGTATTTTAAGTATACATTGTCTAGATTAAATTAAATTGTACAATTCTGTTTTTTTGTTTTTTAAGAATAAAATTAAGTTTTTTACATCCTTTGGGTTTGGTCCAAGTGCTTGACAGATTTGTTCGGATATGTGAAATTGATTTCGTGTCTGATTTTTGTAACTAATATACTAATCATATTGTGTTTTATGATCAAAAAGTCATGCAAGTCTATGCTAAAATAATGAACATTATTATACTCCATGTTGTTAAAATCAGTACAAAGTATTATTCAATATTTAAATATCATTCCTGTTGACAATCGCTTATCCTGGTTACTGGTTTTAATATATATATTTTGTTTTAATTAATAATAAGAAAATATTTGAAAATACATAAATATTTTATGACCAAAATCCCGGGCAAGTCCATATCTTTCAAACTTCAAGAATATTTACGCACTAGAAAATTCATATATTAAGACATGATAATATAACAACAATGTGTGTGTACTGATCAACATCATTTTTTTCTCTATTGGCTAAAACTACTTTTCCTTTTCCTGAAAATTTTTCAAAAGTGAACTTATTACCCTGTTGTTGCAGTGAGCCCTTTATTCAAAGAAAATAATTTTATACTTTTGGTCCTTTTAGATAGACTACTAGATAAATTTTAAACTTGGAAACACTCAGGGTTAAAGTTTCCAATATTTTTACTGCTACCAAAGGGACACAGAAAAAATGCACAGCATTGTGAAACCAATAAATTGATTGCCCAGATCAGAATCTAAAATTATACAAAAAAATATAAGTTGATATAAAAATCATGTTCAATACATTTGTATAAATTTCCACAGATTTTAAGTTAAAAAATTTCAAGAACTATATTGTTTTATGTGTAAAGTTAATTGTTAATTTTTGTTTTGTAACATTTATTTGTATTACGACTTTATATGACTACTTAGAAGTTTAAACTATTACCACGAAAAATTTGGTAATTGAAAATTATCAGCACTGTACTAATAATTTCAATATCTAGAGTAATATCTTTACGAGAGAAAAATATAAAAAGTGTAATTTTTCTTTGCAAAAAAATATTATTAATAGATACACTTAGGTATTTATTTTTTTTAAATCACACTGGTTTTTCAGAAATTATTATATATTATATACCATATACACTGTGGATAATATATCATATAAAGTTTTAAATTTGCTTAACACATGTGAACCAATAAAGTTTGAATATTTATTGGTCCACATGCTGGACGAATCGGATGTTCTGCGGCTATATAGGTATAGGATAAAAAAAATACACATAATATCAAATGATAATACCATATGATAACATTTGAATCTGTGCAATAATGTATATTGTTATTTTTGAAGAAAACTTTGTCAATTTGTTTAGCTATAATTTTAATCCTAACAGTTATTAACGAGAACCAAATATAATATATTATTGTGGCACAATCAATGGTCACACTAAATCATTGACTATCCTATGTGGACCTATATACGGTATATATGTGTTATGCGAGCATTTGGCGTTCCAGTGAACTTTTCAAAACATCGCGAGGTGCTTTCGACACAATAAATATTCCTTTCCCCGCTCTGACCATAAATCTATATAAATAAAACGTAAAATATAATTTTTATTTTGCATCTACCGTGTGCGTGAGCAGTATTAACGGGCCAGCCAGCATTTATAGACTTCGCCGCTTTATTTATTTTATTGGATCGTAAAGACAAAAATTTATACTTACAAAACCGTTGATATTTTATTTTTTTAAATAGTTAAGTACCTAATTTAAAATATATAGTTTAAAAATATTGAATTTGCTGAGCCAGTTATAATTTTCACCCATTTAAAATGACATTAGATTTAAAGATCGTTAATTAATAATTTAGGAGGACTACTTCAGAAATGTAGAACATTTTGGGAATCATTACATGTTAATGAATTCGATTATTTCAAGATACTAAATGAAAAATGAATGATAAATAATGAAAACCCTATTTAATTTATTATTAAAAAAAATAAATTTATTTTCTGTGGACTAAAGATAATGTTCGTCAAGAGCCACCATTTGATAACCCTTGTACTATATCATTGCTTCCCCCTAAGTTTAGCCCTTCAGTATAAGGCCCCTCATTTCACTCTGGGACTGGTATTTATTTTTTATTTTATTTTTTGTACCTTTATGCATACGGCTTATCGATTCGGTGGAGCAACATGCACACAGGTACAATGAATTATAATTTAATACATAAAGAGTGCTAAACGAAGTCAGGTGAGACCTTATTTATAACAATAAGTAGCGTACGTGAGCACAGTAGTTGCTTTTTTTATTTTTGTTTTTTTTTATCCTTTCCTTTGGAAGGGCTAATTTTCGTGTGGTTTTTCCAGGAAAAGAAGGGGTTGGCGTACACACTACCACCAGCCCCCTTCGGCCTCCCTGCACCCATCTCTATTCGTGTGGTGCGGTGGCGTCGTCGTTCAAGTCGGTAACGTTCGGAAGTTCAGGACATTCAGTTCACCGTCGACTGTTTACCACGACACACGCGCCGGGAAACACACACGAAATCCAGTCGTAAATACCTACTCAAAAAATATATTTTAATTTTTTTTAGTATTACGTTCTTTCAACAAGTTCGATTTGCTCGTTACACAGATTTCGATCACTGTGAACCAAGGTAATAATATATTTGACACAAAACAACGTAGTAAGAAAGTTGAACATAAAAGTAGTTTTAGTATTATTATGCTTATGATTATTATTTTAAAACTAGATTATAAATGGTTAATATTTATAAAATGTACACTTTATTTTACCATGAGCTGTGGATGATTTTCACAAAAAGTGATAAATACCATTAGTAAACATAGTAAATAAATAAACTAGACAGAAAAAAATTATAATATAGTTCCACAGGTGTTTAAGACTCTACTATTTATAAAGTATATAATCTTATAAGATTATAAATACAATATACATTTTGTACACAATATTTACATCCATAACTATTATAATATATGAATGATAAAAAGTGTTTTTAAACTAGTGTGGAAGTTTACCTAATTAAATCTAATAACTTTGTTATAGTAGGTAAATATAAATAAACTAAAAATTTAACTAACACAATTCAAGAATGTATATTATCATATTTTATTGTCAAACGATTAAAATCTATAAATTTATAATACTTTTTTGTTCTTATAATAAAAAAATAAACTATTATATAGGTATATTAAAGTTTTATAGACTTTATTAACATTAAAAGGTCTTCAGGTATTAAACATAATATGTGGCCAAACAAGGGATTATATATGTGCGTGGTTGAAAGGGTTGTAGCCCTTGAGCCCCCTACCACATAGTGGTACCCCATAATGTATACCTAATTTATTTGAGAGTTAACTAGTCTTAATAGACAATAATATTATATTAAATTAAAATTTATTGATAACGCGTGATCAATATTTTGTCGAGAACATATTCTTCTTTGCGTGTTGCTATTCGTTTATTTATATTCAGCTTTGAATATTTGAAAAAATAGGTTTAGAAATAATTTTTTTTTTTAAATATAATTTTAATAACTCATTAGTATAATTTATTATAAGTAGGTATAGGATAATATCCATAAAATTTGTAATTAAATTGAAACGGTTTGTGAACCTTTATTTATTTATTATTTTATAAATAAATTACAATACATTATGCAATGCTTTTACTATAGTAATATACACTTTATAAAGTTAAAGTTGAATATAATGATATACTTAAAGCTGAATATAATGATATAAATAAAAATATGTGAACGAGTAAAATATGTTACCGAAAAATTATGTGTCACGCTATGTTTTTTTTGCATTACTTATTAGAAACACTGATCAACGATATAGTTTAACGTTTTAACTTATAATCATATTTTGATAATAAGAAAAGATAAAAATTTTCAAAAATTGAAAATGAAACGTTTTTATGGTTTCCTTATATATAATTTGTTGTAATWTTTTTTTTTTTTTTTTTTACATTTGAGGTTTATGTATAGTTGTTGAAACACTGCTTCATTCAATGTTTAGATTTTTGTGGTATAGGTTTGTTATATTTCATATTATTCATATTTGTTGAGATTTTATGACTGATCACAACAACTAAGCTCTTGTCTTCATAAATATAAGGATATTTTCTTCAACATACAAACACAATTCAAATCATTTGTGAATAATAAAAATTGATTTTTATAGGAATAATATAAATTAAATAGGTACTGTATAATTTATGAGTATTAGTTAGATTATATAAATCATTTTATTTAATTTGTTTAGTATCGATATTTACAATGGTATCCTTAGGAATTTTCAATGTTATGAGGAAGCTATATGCTAAATACAGAAAATCAGAATATGATATCCATTACTTTAAACTAGGTCGTTATTACTTTATGCTGTAACCGTAATAACCTCTACAAATAATTGATAATAATCAAGATTCTTTAAAACCGTTTTCAGAAATATCATTTTTTGTATTTAGCATTTTATTATTATTTAAAATGTATGCCATAATACGGTCAATTGGAGGGGCTGAAGTCCTCTCTGGGTATGCCATTGGATCCTCAGAATACATTTTAAACATATATACCTATTCATAGAAGTAATTAGTAAACAGTATAATATTAGATGTTTAATTTATATTTTATTTTTATTTACTATATTATATTATTTTTTATAGTGTACAATGCGTATATAATAAATTAATAACAAATTAAATTAAAAAGTTCATTTTTGTTTTATTTAAAAATTATTATTTCCAATAGTAATGTAGATTAAAGATTTTTAATAGGTACATTATTATTTTGTATTACATTGAAATTCCTTTTTAATTAAACGTACAAAAATTATTGTTTATCGAAATGGTTAACATATTATATTCTATACAATAATAATGTAGGTATGTTTACTTCCTTTTGTAATGAAAGGTAAAAGCTATATAATATTTTAAATTTTAAATAATTAAACCGAGACCCTTTAAATTAATTCGTATACAAAGTTATCTTAGTTATAGTAATTAAATGGGAATAAAAATTAATTATTTCCATATTTTACTTAAAACTTTAATATAATATAAAAATATTACGTATTACGTATTTTAAATATAAAAATATGAGTATTAATATTGTAACTTATAAATATATGTGTAAAAAGGGAGAAATAAAACTAAATCACCAATATATTTAATGATGTATTTTTTGAATATGAAAATAATTAGATGTTGGGAGTTTAGCTTTAGTGGAAAGTTTACAATCGTTTAAACCAATTCAGATGCTTTAAAACAATAAAATTGTTATTAAGAAGTTTAAAATATTAAAAACTGTTTAAAATGTAAAGAGCTTTATCTGTATTTTATAAAAGGGTTCACTTCAGTAAACAACAGCTTTATGTTAAGTTTCAAAGAATTTGCTTCAAATGGAAGTTCCGTTCATTATATTTTACCAACGTTTATTTCTACAGGAAGCATAACTTTTTCTTTGTACCTAATGGATGTTGAGTTATAATAGTTAAAAATGAATGCATATGCCAAAAGGTTTTGAAAGAAGTAGGTTTGAAGACTTCTAGTTTATACTACAAAACCACGCAACATAATATTAATACAAATTCTATATTAAATCGTAAAAAAAACAAAACGACATATTTCTTAAGTAAGTAGTAGTTAAGTACCTATACTTAGGTCACACACATTTTAAAGTTAACTATTCCAAACTTAATCACGTGTAAAGTCTTAATTTATTTTTTTAAGTCAGGGAGAGAGAAGGATTAAGGAATATGGATACATATTTGATGTAATTTTGACGATTGAAATGTCTATAGATAGATACTTTTTTTTATGCAAAATCTGTTGATAAAATAGATATTGAATTTTTTTTATATATGTTTAGATATATAATTCCTTCAAGTTTAATTTCGTTATATATTTAATATGTTTCATAATAATAGTTTTACTAAAGATTAAGTGTTTTAAATTTATACTATACAAATTACACTTTCATCTATTATAAATATCAATCAGATATTCTGAAAAGAAAAGGTAACTGAAATATTTCTGCATGAAATTAGAAAGCTTGAAAGAGATACTTTCTTACCTTCTAAGGTGAGATAAGATATCTAAATAAGATTAAATAGGTATTACCTCGCCTTACAGTATGACCGTTTTAAGACTTCAAAGGATATAACATGATGTAAAAGATTGAAGTTTTTACGTTCGACCTGCACAATAATGGCTGATTATTTACGACTAGATTTAGTATTGGTCGCCACTCGCCAGCCATAACCTTCGTACATTTATTATAAGCAATTAAATAAAAAAACAAGATAATTTATCGCTAGTGTTGGGTATAGTAACATAAAATTAGAAATTTATAGCAGCGTTCTGATTGCCTAGCTAGGTACCTATCTTGTAGAAAAACACAGTAAAAGTATTATAATATTAAGGTCATAAAATTAATTATTTTATACAACAAAGAAATAACAATAAAAATAAATTATAAAAACGGGTTTTCTACAAATATGGCATAATTTACCATTATTACTAACAATATTTATAATACATCCTTAAGCTAGAAAATTCTAAATATGTATTCCTTATTAGTAAAGCTGTTTAATTTTAAAATGTGTAAGTTTAATTCGGGTGACATTAATATATTCTTTACCACCGATGTCCTATATAAAATAATAATTTAGTTGGAATAATTTCTGATTTTAAAGTATGAATTTATAATTTTTATTACGTTATTGTCTTAAGTTATTTCAGTATTAATTAAGAAAATAAGGGAATGTAAGTACAGAATAATGTATAGGTAATATTATAATAAATTGAGTTATAACATATTGTATAGATATATTACAAAAAGCACAGAGACAGATTGGAAAATTATTATTTTAATCATAAAGTCATTCATAATTAAATCAAGTGTAAAGTGAATTAATTATATTGTTAAATTAGATAAAATTTAAATAAAGAACTGTTGAGTTAAAAAAAAAGGATAGAAAGATAGGAATTTTTTTTCAATCTGTAGTACAATATTTTATACAAGAATAATAATTTAAATGCAATGTACCTGTTATACTATTATTTGGTATTAATTACTAATTTTGAAATTTCATTACTACATAAAATATATCTTGTACATGAGTAATGGCAAGTGAACTTTTTAAGTAAATAACGATTGAATGATTAAATTGCTTAAATGATTAAGATATGCTTTTGTACAAATTATTTCACTTTTATTTATTAATGAAAATATTTTATTTTTCATTGTATATTCTTACAATCTTAAAATAATATCTTAACCACCTATAAAACATGTAAGCTTATTTGATGGCCGATATGTATATAAATTCGATTAACTACAAGCTAATATTTTTATTTATGTGTTAATTTTCCATTTACTTATCTAAATCACTCAAAAGAATTAAAAAATGTCTATTGTTTATAATGTACATGCAAACATAAACAATTTTATTTTTTCTTTATCGTTTTATTCGTCTTAGATTTCCATCTTATTGATATTTCACTTATTTTATTTATTCTTCTTTTGGGACTTAGAGACCGATTTTACGTGAATAAATATTAAGTTACCTACAGTTTGAAATTTAGAACCATTTTTACTTCAAATATTTTTCTTTTACATTTTATTTT